GCAGCCGCCGCAGCCGGGATCCGATCCCGCGACCGGCGGGTCAGCAGCCGAGTACCTCAGCCACTAGACCACCGCGGCGGGGCACCGCGTGGCGAGGAGCATAACTTCCGACAATTACTGTTCGAAGAGTTCAACCTGACTTGTCTGGACGCAGGACCTTACAGCAGCGACGAGTAAAAACACGTCAGAATAGTGAATGGCTGAATTCCCGATTTTCAGCAAATTCCGTGTCGGTGTATATAACGATGCTTTCCGACGTAGTCGACTATATCTGAAGAAATCGATAATGATTAATATGTGGTTTTACATCGCAATGTTTCTTGAGTGTTTGTAGTGATTTTTGCAGTGCGAGTTGAAATGTTTTGCTTTAAGTAGACCTGTCTCTGTACCGCACGTTGCTACCATTGTGTTCGGGTGGCGGGGCTTGTCAAGCTGCAGATATTGCAGCTTTTACCCTGCTATCTTCACCATGTATGATATTTTTCCTCTTTTCTATTCGACCTTTGTTCAAACTGTATATGTTATTATGTATCAATTATGGTGAAATAAACCAAATCTCAATCCCGTTCCCCTAATTTTTGACAAAGGAAAATAAAAATTTTTTACATTCATTTCAGTTTCAAAACCACAACATGATTACGAGGAACGCGGTAGTGCCGTGCTCTGCAACTTTGTACCGTCTGGTGTTTTTTTAACGTGAACTGACGTCGCATTGGACAAGGACCATTTCGCTGACAATGAAATGTGACCACCACGGATGGGATCGAACTCGCGACCCTCGAATCAGCAGTTAAGCACCATTATGGCTATACCATAGACCACGGCGAACTTTGAAGTAATCCAATTTGTTTGCAAAACAATCCTCATTTACCTAGCTATCATATAGTATACCGGCATGCTACACAAACGCTATCTTTTAATGACTACCTTTACGGCTACTATCCGGTGTACCGCTCTTACTCAAGCAGCATCGTCGAATTCATTCAATCAATATAAAACGATTGAACTGGCTATCAATCTTGGGACAGTCGACGGCGAAGTCCAATCACTTCGAGAGCGGTGATTCCGATATTGTGAAAAAGCAGTTTACCTATGCGAGAAAAGGTGATTTTTTTTTCTTATTGTCCCTTTGACGGCCACGCGCGACTGATAAATCCCGTTAGAAAGAGCCAAAGCTGGCAAGGTGCCAAATGAATCATAGTACAAGTGCCGTCGAGAACGCCGTATAACTATGGAGTGTGATATCAAACCAGGGTAAAATTTGCAGGCGTGAGATAAAGCTGACAAACAAAAGATGAAGGTTATACAAATAGTAAAGCATGATTGAAAACACCTTCAGGCGTTCCTCATCCTGCTGAGAGGAGTATAACTTACTCCCCTCATCCCCATCAGGCTGAGGGGAGTAAGTTATGGGATAAACACGTCATGAAGGAATGCAAACGAGAAACACGTTCACAGGAAGATGGAGGCAGCAAAAGGTGGAGGGGAGGGAGATGGCGGGTCTTTCTTTTTTTTTTTTCGCACCGTCTCGTCTTTGTCCGAAGCGTCGCGGTTCACGAAAGTTGGGATGAGAAGCGGTCCTTCATTTCAGTAATGATCCCCTCAATGATATAGCGGAGTGGTGTTGGGCCAGCACCGGCCAGGAAGAGCCGGCAGCAGGACGCGATGTTTTTCCATCGCGTGCAGGTCAACGCCAAGAAAGGGTTGCAGGGGGGGGAGCAGGTTTTCCCCCTTAGGCAGTCGCCGCGGGCCTTCATTGGGCGGGACGCCATGCACTCGTAAATTGCGACGGGAAGAGTGAGGTCAAATCTCCATATCGGCGCCTGCAAGCATTGCTTCTTCATAACTTTATTATTTTTTGCGTCCAAACTCTTTTTTTTTTACATTTGTGCCTCACCCCCTTTTCTTTCCACCTGTACAACCCTTGTCGTAATGATGTCTTCAGCGTATGTCAGCGCCACTGTCATTTGGAGACACGTCTCCGTTCTTTTGCAGTTCACGGTCAAAGCCTGTTTGCCACCTTCTCCACCGCCATCCTCGCCCCAACGTCGGCTTGACCCCGTATAAACTGCAGACACTGGCTGTGGGGTCAAGGGGGGCGAGGGGTGGTGGTTCACTTTTCACATTAGAGTTAGAGGTAGGGAGAGTGTTAAGTGCGAGGGTAACTGTGACGCAATGCGGACGGCACTCGGAATTTACCCAAAGGGGTGATTGGTCGAGACAAGCAGTGTTGTTGAGGTATAACGAAATCTAGACAGGACACGTTTCTTTCGTTTTCCTTTCCTTAGCGTTTAACACACCGTGCAAGGCCTGTTCAGTCTTTCTCTTCGTTTTTGAGTCTCCATAAGTGCGTGCAGTACAGTGCAAGTATAAGGGCTCGATCATCAGGTTACAAGTGACAATGCCGGTTATAAGTAACTCGCCGCCCTATCTCTCTTTCTTTCGTCTCGTTTTTCGAATTCCACTGGCGAAACCCCTTTTGTGTCCTTGAGGCTAATTAACACCGGAACTCTCGATCCTGTCTTTGCCTATTACAACTCTAACGAGACGCACGTGGCTTAGCAACGTCTTCACCATCGTCTAGTAAGGATGGCCACCAACGTCTTACTGTGGCTCTGTGCTGGCTTGAAAACGACAAAATGCATTTCTTCTTTGTCGTTGTGATACAATGAAAAGTATAAGTACAGCGGCCCTAAATCATTGACACCACTCTCTCTCACGCCCGTTCTCTCATATGCAAAATACAGGCTTGGTAATAAATAATCCAGGCATATCCACCGAGTGATTGATAATGAGTGGGGTGAAGCGTCCGCAGTCCATCCGTTCGTCCATCCATCCGTCCGTTCATGCGTGCGTACGTCTGTCTGTCCATGCGTCCGTCCGTGCGGCCGTCATTCAGTTCATTCGCTCATCCGTGCGTCCGTCCGTTGGTCCATCCGTCCGTGTGGCTTTGTGTCTGTCTGTTGACTAAATGACCTCTCATTTAGTTTAAATGCACTATATGAGAGGTGCCTACTAACTACTACTGCTACTAATACTACTACTACTACTACTACTACATACAACGCGGACGCATGACCCATAGCATAAGGAGCTTCGGCCCTAAAAATAACTTGGGGTTCTACGTAATCTGGGTGCCAATAAGAGTACTCTCCATTCTTTTTATGACAATAGAATGGCGCGTGATTGAGTTGTCTTCCTTTTAATTCCTCTATAATTTCCAATGCCCCCCCTCTCAGCTTCTTCAGCAAACAATAATGTGAAATATTTATCAAGTATCAAATGATAAACACAATTATCCTGGTGCTTACCATATGATCTCCTGCACCCATCTGCTGCTCGCAGGACGTCCAAGAGAGAGTACGGCTTATCTCCCGTTGACTTGGAAGTTAGCGCGTACTTGTGTGAGTGAAGTCGGTATTGATGTAGCAACTTTCATCCGCGGGCCGAGTAAACTATTAGCCAGCAGAGGAAAAAAAGAAAAAAACAGAAAGCCGGCAAGATGTTTTTGCGGTTGTACGTAGGACTGGGGGGTAATGACGACGTGAGCAGTGATCGTCGTAAACAGTGCTTGATAGCACTGCGTGATGAAACGACGTCGATGTCTTTCAGATGGCGCCTGTAGAAACCCGAATCGTACGCTTTTCCAGCTTCAAGAGCACGGCGGAATGTGAAGGGGAAAATGCACGCTGTTATTTCACCTATCATAATGTGTCACTTGTGTCGCAACGCGGCAGTTACAGCCGCTGTTTTCATTCGTGCAACCTCAGTAGTTATATGTGCTACCACGTCTCGCCAAGCTTGAAGCGCGACGCGGCGAAAGCTACGCGCTATACATTAGCCAATAAACAACGTCGACTTAATGAACTGGCTTAGCCATTGTGCGACAGTCTTACGAGGTTTTTTTATTTGCGACGCATCATTCTGTGACAATTAACCATTCACTGCTGTTATACCAATCGTACTGCTATTCAATCATCTCTGTAGTATACTGACATAGTCCACATGGTCTCCACAAAAGAAAGGAACTTCGATACTGTAGTGTACTTTCAAGTCAATGTCCTTCAATGTGTCGTTTCTTTAAACACACGCCAACTAACCTCAATGTTTGTATTGTAACCGTAAGCACTCTAGATCCCGACTTCCTTCCAGTAATACTTGTAAGAAACTCGACGCTCAGTGGTAGAGCATATAAAACGCGTTATTCGAAGGTCGCGGATTCGGTCTTTGCCGGCAGCAAGTTATCTTTTCTTGCACTTTTTTTCTTTATATTTACATTACAATTACTAGCTATAGGATCCTCTACCCTTTCCTCGGCGCCATTGTCTGTTAGTTCTCGTTAGCGCTGTGTCTAACAAAAAAAAAGCAAGAAAATAAATTTACACTTCTTTCCTTTGACACACCTAAGTATCTCTCCTTGTTTATGCTCTTTTGCGAAAATTGACCATGAGAACATGTTAGTGGTGGTAAATTGATTATAGCGTCAGGCTGCAACGTGGGAGGCGTTGGGTTCCACTTCCAGTGCCAACGCGGGTACGTGTAACCAGGTTTTCCCAATGAGGCGGAAGGCACCCCGGCCTGTAATTGCGGGTAATCTTGTATGAAGAAGGTACCCTCCCGTCTCCCGTCTGCTCCCTTGTGAATCTTTTCCTTTCCTTGCCGACGTATACGTATGCGCGCCTCGCCGCGGTGGTCTAGTGGCTAATGTACTCGGCTGCTGACCCGCAGGTTGCGGGATCCAATCTCGGCTGCGGCGGCTGCATTTCCGATGAAGGCGGAAATGTTACAGGCCCGTGTGCTCAGATTTGGGTGCACGTTAAAAAACCCCTGGTGGTCGAAATTTCCGGAGCCCTCCACTGCGGCGTCTCTCACAATCATATGGCGGTTTTGGGACGTCAAACCCCACAAATCGATAAGTATACGTATGCGCGTTGCCGCTTTTCGCTTCCCATGTCTCCGGCAAACCGTCGGTAACAGTCGCCGATCTTGGTTTCTCGCAGGGCTCGGGGGTTGATTCATTGTCGACTTCGTGGACAGCCGACTCCTTCCCTGACGCTTCTCACGAGGCAAGTAAAAGCAAAGCAAGAAAGAAAAAGAAAATCACCAATCAATTGCTTGACATGATTCTCCTTCCTACTGCACGTAACTGTAGTGCAAGATGTTGCATGCAGTTTATGATTTCAATCTCAAGCAGCGTGTTTTGCGTTCCTGCCCATTCCGCAACTGGAAAAAAAAAACGTGGGTGATCCCTCTCTTTAGGAATCGGTATAGCACGAAAGTGAAACCGTGACTTCACAGAGGTAGTTGAGCGTTTATTGTGCATTGTTTCGCCACAAGGGCGAAGGAATTGATGCTACAGCAACACATTGCAAAGTCACGCGAAGAACGACAAGCAGGTCTAAATTTGCAGCGGGCACATGAAGCAAGAAGCACGCACGAAATGGGCAAACATGGGACGTGCGCGGACTAACAACTGTCACATCTTGACACCTAAAACGCACTGTTCAAACAGAAGGAAACACACATGAAGCGGAAGCGCAATACAAGTGCGAACAATTGTCACAAATCTCGCTTGAGCAGCATGCTCATTTACTGCATGCTCGTTTACTGAATGAGCAGCATGCTCAATCAGTAAACGCGGCCGCGGCAGCGAGCGATGTGACCTTCGTGCTCTACCAAATCACGAGTCTGATAAGTGCGCGCAGGAGAGACCACGCTCCGTGGAGGCGGCGCTCGTCGAAACGCGAGAGGCGACGACCTTTAGAGCGGGCCTAACGCGAGACCTTCGCGCCATCTCGCTGCTGCTGACGAAAACGCGCTGAAGTTGCGCACCTCTGAGGACTGCCGCAAAGTATATAGTGTATATAACTAGCTTGCCGTTAGCAAATTCTACAACTTACGTTCCGAGGCTTGGTGGTTGGCGCCACGCGCTGCGGACTGAGTAAGTCCCTAGTTCGATGCCATGCAACAGAACTTTTTCTTTGCAATCTGTTAATATATATTTTACAGCGTCATATCCGTGACGGAAATACGTCGGCGAAGCCGTGGTGAAACCCACATAAAACACTTCCGTGTTAAAAAACAACAGTTTTGAAGCAGCTAAGATTGACTGATTAAACTAGGAGGGTGTAAAAGATGCGTATTGCAGAGAAAAAGTAAGGGATAAACACAAAACAGCCTATTAATAAATCTGTTGTTATGGTACTTGGATATTGGCATCTCGACCCACTGGTTACGGGTTCGAAACCTGCGGTCATCGTAATTGTTGCAGATATGCAGTACACCCTAACAGTAAGCTAGGCGTAGAGTTCAGAAATATTTCAGTTTGTCTGAAACGTGAGCCACGAACGTGCCGCCGTACCCTCGGATTTTACCCTCCCCCTATGGTACGGAGGCGAACGCCTTTGGCGGCCACCCCTTGCGAACGCAGCAATGCTCTCACAGTTGCCTCCGAGCCGCTGTGATGTCGCGTGACAGCGGTACGGTAATGTCACGTGACTGAGTGGTACGGAGGCAAGCGGTCACACGCGGTGTACGGTCGCACAACGCTGCAAGAGGCGTGGCCTCCGAGATTTTGCGCTGGCAGGAAGCTCCCGATTGAAAAGAGGGCGACGTTCCAGGCATAGTTTTTTTAGGAGGCGTTGGTAGAGCACATTGTTACGCACGTAGCAATATTGTAGTAAATACAAAACGTGCTACTGAGTTCAATATTTAGGCTTGAAACTGCCTAAACGGCGCCCTATGGACCCGCCATGGTCTTTTGTGGATGTTGCATGCAACTTCAGCGTACGCAATCTACCAGCGAAGCGCACCATTCCAGTCGCGGAAGCAAAATTTTTTGCGCTGGACCACTTGAGCACCATGTACCGCGGCCACCTACAAGTGTACACCGACGGATCAGTGTGCGCAAAGACGGATAGCTGCGCAGCGTCTTTCTGCATACCCAGCCTGGGCGTGTCATGGTCGGGCCGCCTGGATCGCGTGGTTTCGTCCACAACGGTAGAAAGCGCTGCAGTTACGGCGGCTTTGCGAAAACTGCGATCCTTTTTTGCACGAGATGTTGTAGTGCTGACGGACTCCAAATCGGCGCTACAAAGACTGCATCGTGGCCTACCTCAAGAAAAGTTCACCAGGCAATCTCTGGCACTAATCAAACACCTCAATGGCAAGAGTTTTAATATAAAGTTCCAGTGGATCCCATCCCACGTTGGCATTGAGGGCAATGAAAAGGCTGATGCCCTTGCATGCGAAGCACGCGCCCCGCCACGGTGGTCTAGTGGCTAAGGTACTCGGCTGCTGACCCGCAGGTCGCGGGTTCGAATCCCGGCTGTGGCGGCTGCATTTCCGATGGAGGCGGAAATGTTGTAGGCCCGTGTACTCAGATTTGGGTGCACGTTAAAGAACCCCAGGTGGTCAAAATTTCCGGAGCCCTCCACTACGGCGTCTCTCATAATCATATGGTGGTTTTGGGACGTTAAACCCCACAAATCAATCAATCAATCATGCGAAGCACGTACATAGTTTCCAAAAGTAAGAACTCCCAAGACTTACCAGAACAACAAAGATGTGATACGCAATCATTTCAAGGCGATCAACAAGTTTCCACACCAAGCATGTGTAATTCATGGACTTTCTCGTGAACAAGCGACGCTGTTGTACCGCATTAGAACCGGCTCCGCATACACCCCGGCCTCGTCATTCAAGACTGGGAGATACGCTTCCCCGTTCTGTGCCTTCTGTGGTGACATCGGGGATATTGAACACTTCATTTGGCTTTGCCCACAGTTTGGTGTGCAAAGAGCAGCGATGATCCACACCTTGCGAAAAGGCTGTCATAGACACCGGACAGTTGATGACGTCATCTTTCTTGAAGGACCCGCGGCAACTAGGAGGAACGTGCAACGAATTTTGTTGGTCTTTCTGCGAGACACTGGGCTGTCTGACACGTGGTGACATTTTCCAAATTCAGGAGATGCTCAGGCGGAACAATTGCCGGCCATGCAGGCCAGGCTAACCCCGCCTGCTGCAACACCATCACCACCACCACCACCACCATGCGGAGAACAGTGAAAGCTGAGGCGCGCGTTACCCGCCACAGTAGTCAAGTGGTTATGGTTGCTGACCCGCAGGTGGCGAAATCAAATTCCCGGCCACGGCGGCTGCAATTCGATGGAAACTAAAATGCAATAGGAGCCCGTGTGCTTAGATTTAGGTGCACGTTAAAGAACCCCAGGTGGTCTAAATTCCTGGAGCCCTCCAATGCGGTGTCTCTCGTAAACATATCGTGGTTTTGCGGCGTTAAAGCCAAACGTTTACTACAAACACGGGGCGTACTTTAATACGGATTGAGTGCACACAACTCGTATGTAGTGAGGTACGTGTAACACCATCAAAAGTTATGTTGCTCAAGTCTCGATTCCCCGGCGTAAACGCATCCATATCCGCGCAGTCACGAGCCATTTCCCGCATATGTATATCTTTGTATATTCTACGTTTTGGCCGAGCGCTGGCCTTCATCAAAACTCGTTCCTGATAAAGGCCACTTTCACAGCATATCCTCGGAGTGAATGATTATGAGTGGGGCGGATTGTCTGTCTGTCTGTCTGTCTGTCTGTCTGTCTGTCTGTCTGTCTGTCTGTCTGTCTGTCTGTCTGTCTGTCTGTCTGTCTGTCTGTCTGTCTGTCTGTCTGTCTGTGTGTCTGTCTGTCTGTGTGTCTGTCTGTCTGTCTGTCTGTGCGCTCATATCACACTAGAGCGCGCATCATACAACTAGGCGGTCACGTACCAGGAGATATATACAAGGGATGTACAGACCCGCGGCTTTAATGATTTCGCCCCTAAAATAAATGTATTCCAGTCTTTCTAAGTGCGGAGCGCTTTAGGTGGACGCGGGCTGCGGTATGCATGCTGTCGTTTACCTGGGCGCAATGCACACAATGCTAATTATAGCGTATAGCCACCTGCTGATCGCGCTCGGGCCAAGGAGAAGTATTCTTCCTCTTGTTCTTCGAGCACCTTGATGAGGGTATGAAGTGAGGAGCAGTTTTAAGGGCCCGGGCTAACGCAGGCAAAACGTTGTACAAAAATTGAAAACAAAAAAGAGGGAGCAAGCGAGACATAGAAAAATAAACAAGGGGGAAAATAGGAAGACAAATAAAATTACAGAGAAAGGAAAGAAGACAGAAAAACTGGTGCAGAGAACAATCAAGAAAGAGAGGGGAAGAAAAAGAAACACAGAAGGGTGCATCACATATAGGCTACTACAAACGTTCATGGCCAAGCCTCTAAAGAGGGTATGTGCCAGTGCTTACAGGCAACAGACAAACGAACAAAACAAACAAACAAGCTTGTCTCACGCCGCACCTCCTTCGTTTAGCGCTACTATAGTGCAGCGCGAAGCTTCCTTTTGTTTGTTTGTTTGTTTGTTTGTTGTACGCGCACTCTGCAGGTAGTTGTGATCACCTATACAGGGTAGTCAGAACATAATTTCCAGGTTGAGTCCCTCAATGGAATGCGTCGAAGTCACCCGACATTTAGCGTCGTTTCACAAAGCACCGAAGACGCGACCCTCGTGAATATCACTGTATATAACGCATCCGTCGAGAAAATGCGGGAGGGGGTGAATGCCGGATGCCAGTTCAGTGCGTTGCCCGGAGACCGCAAGCTTTGCGGCTGCAGTGCATTAGACGCCCGGGTGCCGAATGGTGCCACCGTCTCGTTAAGGCCGGAAGAAATAGAAGCGTCCTCTTGCGCACGAGTGATGGACCTTGATTTGCGATGAGAAGGCCTTGCGACATGTGCCTTCTTCCATGATTCACTCAAAAAGGTCCCGGCAAAACATGCTCGAAAGGATATGGGTGAGAGAATGTGTAGTTGGCCTCGGGCGTAGTATTTTGTTGTTCTTTTGTACCTAGAAGGATATGCACGTTAGAGCGATTTTGCAATCAGACATTTTGTCAGGAACAGCGCGGAAGTTTTAACGATGACAAAACGAAGAGGAAGAAAACGCAAGTCGAGATTTGCTTTGAGTATACCCCAAGAGCTCAATTGCACTTCGTTGATGTCA